CTGTAAGAGGGAAATGTAAGCAATCACAGAGTTGGTTAAAACAACTTCTCCTCCTCCTCCTCTTCCTCCTCCTCCTCCTCCTTCTTTTCTTTTCCATTTTGAGACAGAATCTTGTCCCAATTTCTGGGATTAAAGAAGTAAAACTATTCCTGGTCTTAACATTTTTTGGGGGGGTCCGGTTGTGGGGCCTGAACTCTGGGCCTGGGCGCTGTCCCTCAGCTCTTCAGCTCAAGGCTAACGCTCTACCACTTGAGCCCCAGCACCACTTCTGGCTTTTTTCTTTTTGCTTATGTGGTGCTAGGAATGGAACCCAGGGCCTCATGCATGTAAGGCAAGTGCTCTACCACTGAGCCACCTTCCCAGCCCCAGCCTTAACATTTTTTGAACACTCTACATATAGTCTCCTATCATTGGTCTGCCTTCTGGAAGTTCAGAGTTGAATATATATTATATATTCATGCTATATATGTATATATTATACACATGTAATCCATATATATTATAGACATAATATATATGTATATATTATTTGTATATATGTATAATATTTTTGTGCATCAATGTTCTACAACTGTAGTTACTTTTTGGTGCTGGGCTCCTCAATCCCATAAGAACCCAGACCCTCTCCCTTTGTCCATGATTGTTTCCAATCTTCCCTTTCAGGCTCCTTTTCCTTTTCCTGCCTCTTCTGCCAAGGTTTGGCTTCCACTAGATATACATCTACAATTGGACATTTTGCCAGCAATTTTTAAAAAATAAACAAAGTACGATTTTTGTTTTGTTTTGTTTTGTTGGTCGTGGGGCTTAAACTCTGGGCCTGGGTGCTATCCCTGAGCTCTTCAGCTTCAAGCTAGCACACTACCATTTGAGCCACAGCGCCACTTCCAGTTTTCTAGTGGGTAATTGGAGATAAGTGTCTCATGGACTTTTCCTGCCTGGGCTGGCTTTGAACTGCTATCTTCAGATCTCAGCCTCCTGAGTAGGTAGGATTACAGGCATGAGCCACCGGTGCCCAGCCAAACTGGATTTTTGATTGTTCTTGTTTGTGTGTGTATACACATATATTGTGTATGTATTGTAGGAATCACATAATTCTGAATGGGTGGCCTCTGACCCACTCAGCAGTCAATAAGGACAGATCGCAGACAGTTGGTACTTCACAAGCCTCAAAGCATAAAGCTTTATTGCTATAGTCTCAGACCATGGGATTTTCTCTTGGTCACTGAGGGTAGAAACACCTGTCATGACCAAGCCTTCAAAATCCCACTTTCCTTTAATGGTCTCTCTGTGGGTAATTTGAGCGCCATCTGTTCTCTGAGGACAGCTCTAACATCAGCGTAAGAGGCCATCGGACCTGCTCCTCTGCTGAGTGACCTGCAGGGAGTGCCACGGCCCCTTCACTTCTACCTGCCAGCAATTTAAACACACTTGTTTCAAAAACAAATCTATTATCCTCTCCACTCACCAAGTCTCCTCAGGCCTCTATTTTTGCAAATGCAATAATTATGCTCCAACATGCAGGAGCAAAACTTGGGGTCTGTCTTTTCCTCTGTTTTCTCTTTGGCCTTCACATGCTTTCACCTGCCAGGTTTATAGCTCTACAAAAATCTCCCAAAACCATAGCATTGTTTTTATGCTAGCTTCATAGCCTGGGCTGAATCCCTTCTTAATTCTCCTGGGCTCTCCCCATAGTTCCTTAATTGACCTACCCCCAAACCATGCTATGCATTGCTGCCATCAACGTCCAAATGTCTCCCTCTTGCACTAAAACATTCCGTGGCTCCCTTGGCATGTATAATTAAAATGCTCCCTCCCCCCATTTTCCACATCTGTTCCCTTTGTCAGTACTCCCCATAAAAGGGGCTAGCTGCTTCCAACAGGACCCTCCTGGATCACTTCCAGGTTTCCCAGGGTGCCATTCTCCACCCCAGGAATGGTTTTCCTCTCAGACCCTTCTTGGCTCAGGACAGTACTCCAGACTCCCACCAGCTAGGTATGATTTCTACTCTGGGCCCTCCCAGCTTCCCATTGGGCCTTTTTTTTTTTTTTTCATAATCCTGATTTCCTACCCCAGGATTGTTGCTCCTGCTAGACCCAACACCTGCTAATGCAGGGGCCAGCTCCCATTTGCTTACACTTACCAGGTGTCCCAAAGATATGGAATGGGCAGAATTGAAGGTGAATTCTGGAAAGATTCCTGCTGGAAGCATCTACACCCACTAGCTTGACAAGTCCGCCTTAGCAAACAAGTTGGTCAAACAGACACGTGTCAGGCTTGGCAAAGAACTAATCTGAACTCTCGGTGAACAGCAGCTTGCACCCTGCTGCAGGGCTTTGTCTGTTAACTCATTTTAGGATAGTTTTACATGTCAAGCAATTAATCCTTTACTCAGATGTCTGTCTGCAATGTGGGCGTTAAGGGCATATTTACCAAGGCTGAGATCACTAGGAGTACAGACCACCAGCCAGGATCCAAACCCGGATACCATATAGCATTCCGCGCACTGCAGTTCTAAGCCTCAAAACTAGTAAGCCAGAAACGGTGGAGATGCAGGTAGGAGGAGAAACCGGGTATTGGAGGCGTTCGTTCTAGTGTCCCTGTCTGACTAGGACAAGATCAGCGCGCCCAGCCCCGCTCACCCAGGCCGCCCGCCCCGCGCCCCGCCAGGCCCGGAACCCCGCCCCCGGGCTTACCCCGAGCCCCTCCAGGTGGCCTCGGGCCGGGCGACCGCGCCCCCGGGCGCTGGGTGCCGCCAGGTCCTCGGCCGCAGCAGGGCGCCTGCGACTTCTCCAGCCCACTGGGCACAGCCGACACGGGCAGCCTGGCACTTGGAGCCGAGCAGGCAAGGCGGGCGCACTGCGATGCTTGGCCGCGGGAGGCAGAGGCGGGCCTGGAAAAGCAGGTTTTCCGTGCCAAGAAACCAAGAAGGCCTTGCTGCTGTGGGGCACCTGGGCAGCCAAGATGGCGCTAGGAGGAAGTTGAGTGGGCAGAGCCCGAGTTGTTCGATGTTAAAGTCTGGCTGGATGCCACCGTCAGTGCGCGAACAGCTCCGGGACAGCAGGGAGAGTATGGAACGCTTGGGCAGAGAGGGTGACCTCTAGTGATGGCTGGTTCCCTTGCCGCCCCCTGTCCTGCGGAGGGGCAGCCAGACCGCTCAGTCCGCAGTGAAAAGCTAAAAGAGTTTATTGAGCGAAAAGTGCTGAGCACCAGGACCGCACCTGGAGTTGGGATGCCAGGAAAGGGCCCCGGGTGCCAGCCCATAAGGGCTTTTAAGCCTTTGGGGCTAGGGTGGGGAAAGGGGGAGGCTGGGTGTTGGGTTTAGCCAATGATTGTTACAAGAAAGGCACACCTTAAGTTTAAATTTCCTGCCAAGGTTTTGCTGGTGGGAAGCAGGGGACTAGAACAAAGGGTGGTGAGGGTTAGGGCTCCCATTGCTCAGAAAACAGCAGAGTTATAGAGTTACAGGGCTAGGGAGTTACAGAGTTACAATTACAGTTACTAGCTAAAGTAAATTACCAGGGAAGTCTTATCCACAGCACACTGACATTTATAGCTTAAAAATCATTCATTATCCATTTTATACAATCCAAGTCAAATATCATATTCCATCTTTTTGTTTTTAAAAGTGCTTGCTGTGTGGTAATAAACAAGTTCCTGCTTGACTTGACTCCCCGCTGGATCTGACTCAGGGGCTAGGGGAGGCTGGGGAACCCGGGACCGTGCACTTACCTTTCCTCAAGCCCCATCGGACCAACGTGGGGCTTGAAAGGAGAATGTCCCGGTACCGGCCGAGGCTAAGCGGTCTCTCAGGGTAAGTGAACCCCTTAGTATGGGTAATGCTATCTCACAGAAGGAAGAGCCAGCCTTAAAGGCCCTATAGCTCATGCTTAAGTCCAGGGGCCTTGAACAATGTGATAGCGATGCTATTAAGACCTGGGACACCCTTGTCACTCTGGCCCCCTGGATCCCTAGTTCCAGTCTCTTTTCATGGACCACCTGGGCCAGGGTGGAGAAGCTGGCCATAGAAAGGGAGAGGCACTTTGGTGTCTCACCGCCTCTGAGGTTTTGTCCACCTCCCTCAGGACATCCTTCCATCCAGACCCGATACCCCCTCCCCCTCCTCGGGAGCTCTCAGAGGAGAAGGGGGCAGCATCAGGCCTACAGGGAGTAAAAGAGGATTTGGGGAGTGAGGAGGAAAAGGAATGGGTCAAATTTGTTAGGGAACGCACTGATCAGGCAGAAGCAGCACAGTGGAAATTAAAATGAAGGGAAGGGTTACCCCCCCCAACTCAAATGCCCCTGACAGTCTTAGGCCCCCACCCTATGCCCCCGAAAGGGGGAGGCCCTAAGCAGCCCTACAGAGGGACCTGTGAGATCTAGGCCCCTATGACCGGCCCTCCACGGAGGGGCCAAGGGCCGGGGAAGTAATCTATGCGGAGGCCTACCCTGTAAAGGAGGGGCCACCTGGGAGCCCGGACACTAAGCCACAGGATTCGCTTCCCCAAGCCTATCCGGTCAACCTGGCAGCAGGGGCTAACAGGCCCTTGGAATGGTATCCATGGGAAGCTAAGGATCTTAAAGAGCTCCGCAAGGCGGTGGCGGAGGATGGCTCGAACGCTCCTTGGGCCCAGACCCTATTACAGGACATTGCTTATCACCCATGTGTCCCTAAGGACTGGCTGGATGTGGCCAAAGCCATCCTCACCAGTTCTCAGTTTATTACATGGTGTGCCTTCTTTAAGGAGGAATGCAGAGTGCGGGCAGAGAATAGCCAGCAGGCTCAACCCGAGATACCTCTCACTTATGCCAAGTTAACAGGGACGGGGGAAGGGTACTCCACTGGCATCCAACAGGCTGCAATACCTGGCCCGTACCATGATCATGTGAGGCAGGCAGAACTTGCTGCTTGGTACAAACTAGATAAGGACCCACTGAGTCCCCATAGCAGGAGTGAGACAAAAGCCGGGTGAACCTCTGCCTGATTTTATTGACTGAGTCCAGCAGAGCGTTCATCTCAAGCTGCCAGCAGGGGACTTCCGAGATCAGTTTGTAAAGCTGCTGGTCTGGGAAGGGGTGAATGCAGACCACCGCATGGCCTGCGCGGGATTGAGAGAGAGTTCCCTGGGCAGGTGGCTGGTGGCCTTGCAGGATGTGGGAACGCAACAGCACTTGTCCCAATCACTAGCTTTAGCTTTACAGGCTCAGACATCTGCAATGACTGAGGCTATCATGCGGGCACTGGCAGCCCAGGGCTAAGGAACCCCAAGACCATCAGGGAGAGGGGCTTATTTTAAATGTGGGCAGGAGGGGCACTTTAAGAGGGACTGTCCACAACAATCCCCCGCCAACTGGCCCAGGGGGCCCAAACCACCCCCTATGCTCTGTCCTAAGTGCAGGAAGGGATACCATTGGAAAAAGGATTGTCGGTCCAAATTTGATTTAGATGGGAAGTCTTTAAACTAGGGGAGGGGTGCTCTCCAGCCCCGTTAACTAAAGGAGGAGACCCCTCTGCTGTGAGACCCAGGCGGCCCCATGACAGGACAACCCAGACTCATTGGAGGGTCCCACTGATAGAAGGACTCTGCCCTAAAATGAGTATTTTCATAGGCAGGAAGCGGTTTCACTGCTTAATTGACACGGGGGCAGATCGAACAGTACTCAGGGAGGAGGAAGTGCCCTTGGACTGGAAGCTCGCACCCGGACCCCCAATACTGGGGGTTGGGGGCAACTCCCAGTCCAAAGAGACAGTTGCCCTTATGACATGGACTAGCCCAGATGGAGAGCAGGGAAAGATACGCCCTCTGGTGGCAAAAACCTCACCACCAACTTAGTAGGGCAGGACATGCTAGACAAATGGATGCTGTGGTCACTACGAGCCATCGAGCATTCTATGATGATGTCCTGAATGGAGAAGAAGCACAAAGGCTTAAACGGGATCTGGAGGGAGTTAAGGAAAAGGATTTCTTTAACTTTCATAATTACAGAGAAGAACATAAGGGACCCACCTGGATGCACCCCCAATCCTAAAGGCCATTGCCCCCCCCCCAGTACTTTCCATTAGATGGAAACCGGGAAGCCTTATTTGGGTGGAGCAGTGGCCATTGACCAAACCTAAACTTGTAACTCTCCACCTTTTGGTGGAGGAACAGATAAACCTTGGGCACATATGCCCTTCTATGAGTCCTTGGAACACACCCATATTTGTTATCCAAAAAGCATCTGGGGCCTGGCGCATGCTCCAAGATCTATGTAAGGTAGGAACACCCCTAAGAGGCATGCCCTGGACTCCGCTATATCTTCAGAATATACCTTGGTTGTGATTGATATTAAAGATAGTTTTTTTTTCTATCCTCCTGCATCCAGATGACTGCAAGAAATTTGCTTTCTCCATCCTTTCTCTTAATTTTTCCCAGCCTGACCGGAGGTTTGAATGGACGGTGGTGCCACAGGGGAATGGCCAATAGCCCGGCCTTTTGCCAACAATACTTGGCCACACTTTTAGGGCCTGTGCTGGGTTCAGATACCTTCCTTGTCTAGGCCTACATGGATGATATAATTCTGGGGCACCAAGACCCAAGCTGCCTGGAGAGCCTTCTCACCATATTAAAAAAGGTTTTTTTTGTTTGTTTGTTTTTGTTGGTTGTGGGGCTTGAACTCTGGGCCTGGGCGTTGTCCCTCAGCTCTTCAGCTCAAGGCAAGCGCTCTACCACTTGTGCCACATCACCACTTCCGGTTTTCTAGTGGTTTATTGGAGATGAGTCTCACGGTCTTTCCTGCCCGGGCTGGCTTTGAACCGCGATCCTCAGATCTCAGCCTCCTGAGTAGCTAGGATTACAGGTGTGAGCCACCAGCACCCGGCTAAAAAAGGTGTTTTTTTTTTTCTTACCATAGCCCTCAATAAAATTCAAAAGGTAGCCCCTTTTAAGGTGCTCGGATCCCACCTTACCTTGACTCAGGCCAGCCCCCTTAAGCCTTTGATGGATATTCCAGCCTCTCTGACCCTAACCAACTTCAAAGTCTTTTAGGGGAAATCAATTGGCTGTTACCATGGGTTCCCATCCCTAAAGATAGTGCCCTTATTTGCCCTACTAAAAGACAGGACGTCCCAAGAAGTTATTACAATTACAGACAGCCATCGGGCAATATTTTTACAGTTCCAAAAAGCCCTGGATGAAGTTTCCCTGAGGAGGTATTCTATTCTTGAGCCCATTTCCCTCTGGTTGTTTGCGGGTGTCACATTGATTTCTGCAGTTTTAACTCAAAGGGGGGAGCCATTAGAGCGGGTTCACACTCCCCGGGGGGGCACACCTCGGGTGCACTCTCAGGCAGACCAACTTGCCAATGCTATTGTCAAGGGAAGGACCCAAGCCTAAAGGCATTATGGCCTCGACCCTCCATTGCTTTTCCTTTTCGGATGGCAGACATTGAGTGGCTCACTCGAGCCAATGCTCGCCTTGCTCTCTCCTTGGAGGGGTTTCTAGGCCAAATTGACTGCCATTTTGGGCCATCCAAATGGACTGTCATGTTATGGCGACTCCCCCTCCAAATGCCATCTCTATTTGCTCCCACGCCTATTCCTGGTGCCCTCCATGTTTTTACTGATGGAGGTAAAGCAGGCTCTGTGTATGCAGCCTTTGAGGAACAACAAGAGACCCCAAACCAACAAAGATTCCAACCTTGTCAAGGGTCAGCACAATATAAAGAAATGCTGGCCGTAATTATGGCCCTTCAGTACATTCAAAAACCCTTTAATTTGTATTCTGATAGCCTATATATGATTAACTTGCTCCCTCATATTCCCCAGGCACATGTTAAGCTGGATGAAAACCCTATTTCCTCCCTTATGGTTTCCCTTAAGGGTCTATTAGAAGGATCAGCAGCCCCTATTCATATTCAACATTTGAGAGGGCATTCAAAACTTCCTGGGTTTTTTTCCATGGGCAATTATTGGTTGGACCAGTTAGCTACTGGCCCACAAGCATTAATGTTACAAGAGGCCACCCATTTGCATGATTTAACCCACATTAATTGGAGAGGTCTTCCACATAGATTTCCTCAGATTCCTGTAAAGGACCTCAAAAGGATAGTACATACCTGCAAAATATGCCAGCCCTTCTTAAAAGTACCCCCGTTACAACCACCAGGGGTAAATATCAGAGGCCTCAAACCCAATGTTCTCTGGCAAACTGATATTACTTATTTCCCAGCCTTTGGTAAGCTTAAATATATTTTTGTTTCTATAGATACCTATTCAGGAGCATGTTGGGCCACAGCAGGATAAAAAACTAAACATTCACAAGCACATTTTCTTCAATGCTTTGACACCTTGGGTCTACCAGCACAAGTTAAAACTGATAATGGACCCTGTTTTGTTAGTAAAGCAATGTCAGAGTTTTTTGACAGATGGCATATTAATCATACTACAAGAATTCCCTATAATCCCCAAGGCCAAGCAATTATAGAAAGAAACCACTGATGGCTTAAGGAGCAATTATTAAAACAAAAAGGGGGGACTGGGAAGGTGGCTTAGTGGTAGAGTGCTTGCCTTGCATGCATGAGGCCCTGGGTTGATTCCTCAGCACCACATAAGCAAAAAGAAAAAAGCCAGAAGTGGCGCTGTGGCTCAAGTGGTATAGTGCTAGCCTTGAGCTGAAGAGCTGAGGGACAGTGCCCAGGCCCAGAGTTCAGGTCCCATGACTGGACCCCTCCCTAAAAAAGAGGGGAGTTAGCCCCCATATACAGTTACAGATAGCTTTATTTACCATTAACATTTAAAATTTTTCAAAAGTGGTAACTGAATCCAGATTTCAGAAGTACTGGGGCCAATTAAACCCCAAGCCCCAAGTGAAAGTCAGGTGGAAGGACCCCCTGACACAACAATGGAGAGGACCTGACCCCCTAGTTACCATGGGCAGGGGATTTGGATGCGTTTTTCCCATAGGGGAGACAGCCCCCATTTGGATTCCTGCCAGGAATCTTAAGTTTTTACCCATTTCCTCTATACAGGAGGATGCCCAAGAATAAACCAACAAGGAAAGAAAACGGCTATGGTGCTTGCAGCTTGTGTTTAAAAGAGGGAAAGCTAAAAAGATAACTACTAACCATCCCCAGGGCAACCAGCCCTTGAGAAGCTCTGATGTTCCCTAACAATTGCAGATGGCGATACTCCAGCTGTTGGCTGTCCTGACCCTCCCAGTCCCGGCAATGGCTCTATGGAATCCACACCAACCTCAACGGGTGACCCGGGCAGTGATCAGCGCTGGCAATGCAGAAATCATCAATAGCACCACAAGAGAAACTGTCCCTTTGACCTGGTGACCTGACCTCCATTTTGACCTCTGTGACCTGGCTAGAGGATCCTGGGATGTTGGAGATTGGACCCCCTTCACCAAGGGCAGCCTGAGTGTGGGGGCCCATGAGGATGCACCGTGCCTCATATGTAGGACCCCCAACACCCAGGCTGCTCCCATGTTTTAAAGAGGGCAACCTTACGAGATACTGATTTTTATATATGCCCAGGAAATAATCGAACTGCTTTGGACATTTCTAACTGTGGAGGGGCTGATGATGTCTGTTACTGTGCTAAATGGGGATGTGAGGCAATGGGCTCGGGCTCTTGGATCATGCACAAGGGCTCTATCCTTGTCTGGTGAATTCTGACCCCCAAACTTACCTTGAACCCCCTACATGGATGATGCTCTTCTTACTGATGCAATCCTGTTAAAATGACCTTTACAGAGGAAGGGAAAAGGATAACCAACTGGGGGGTGGGCAGGATGTGGGGGTTGCGATTATATCAGAAAGGATATGATCAGGGGCTACTTTTCTCCATTCGGAGATCAGTCCAGCGGTTACGGGGCCCCGAGTTGTTGGGCCCGTGCAACCCATACCTACCTACAACTGCTCCCCATCCAAAGGCTCGCTCTTCCCCTTTTTTTTGAGCATGGAGGCCCCGTGCCTCCCACTCAGGTTTTCAGATGAGAGAGATTTGATTTTGTCCACGGTGCATTTGGCTTTCCAAGCGTTAAATCAGACCCGTCCAGACCTCACTGCCTCCTGCTGGCTGTGCATGCAACATAAACCCCCTTTATATGAGGCCCTAGGAGTTAGGGAGGGACACCTCACTGAAGACTTGCATGACAAGTGCAGGGGGTGACCCTGCCAAAGTGGACTCCGGTGGACTAACCTTCCCATTGCAGTAACAAATGACTTGTGTAGTAACTAGGAACACCTTTGAGCCTGGCTGGGGCGAGTGCATGTCACTAATTCAACCCAGGGCAAATGGCTGGTGCCTCAAGACCATGGCACCTTTTGGCTTTGTCGTTTGACTGGGTTAACTCATTGTGTTTCTGTAGAGCTACTACACTACGAGAATGACTCTTGCACTTTGGTGATGCTGCTCCCCCATGCTTTATACCATTCGGACGAGGAAATGGCTCACTCCTGCGCCCATACACCGCGAGAGCCACTAATGGCCCTGGCCTTAACCATCCTTTTGGGACTGGGGCCCACAGGAGATGGCTTAGGAGCAGCCTCCATGGGTTCCAGGAGCTACGACTCCAAATAGACTCCAATTTAGACAAGATGGAAACCTGTTAGGTATCTGCAAAAATCCTTAGAATTTTTAGCCCAAGTTTCACTACAGAATCGACGATGGTTGGATCTCCTATTTTTTCAACAAGGAAGTTTATGCCAAGCTCTTGGGGAAGAGTGCTGCTTTTACGCTGATCACTCTGGCATTGTTACCCAAAATCTTAATGAAATTAGAAAAGGAATTGAAGAAAGGTGGACCTAAACACTAATTGGTATCAACAATGGTTTGACTGGTCCCCCTGGCTGACCATGCTAATTTCACCATTACTGGGGCCAGTGATAATACTCACCCTGATTTGCACCTTTGGGCCCTGCGTGTTCAATAGGCTAGTTAAACTTATAAAGGATAGAACCCAAGAAATCCAACTTATGGTTCTCCATTATGACAAGCTCAGTGCCAAAGATTACCCCCTACCTCAGGCGAACCTCGGAAAAAAGGTGCCGCCAAACGGGCGAACCTTGTGAGAGGTGCCCTGATCTGAACCTCAGCAGAGAGGTGGGTCTGCTATTAAAACAAAAAGGGGGAATTTGTAGGGCACATGGGCAGCAAAGATGGCACTGGGAGGAAGTTGAGTGGGCAGAGCCCGAGTTGTTTGTTAAAATCTGACTGGATACCACAATCAGGCAAAGTGACCTCAGTGCGTGAACAGCTCATGGACAGCTGGGAAAGTATAGAAAGCTTAGGCACACGGGTGACCTCTACAGTGATTGGTTGGTACCTCTTCCTCCCCTTCCATGCCACGTGGATTTTTGCTTTAAAAATGCTTGCTGTGGGGCTGTGAAGGTGGCTCAGTGGTAGAGCACTTGCCTTGCATGCATGAGGCCCTGGGTTCGATTCCTCAGCATCACGTAAGCTGTGGTTCAAGTGGTAAAGCGCTAGCCTTGAGCTGAAGAGCTGAGGGACAGCACCCAGGCCCAGAGTTCAGGCCCCAAGACTGGACTAAAAAAAAAAAAAAATGCTTGCTTGACTCCTGGCTGCTCCGACTGTCTCTGGGGCTAGGGGAGGCTGGGGAACGGGCGAGTGGTGCACTTACCTTTCCTTGGACCCCGTCCGTCCCACAGAGGACGGACGAAGACCCAACATGCTGTGGGCCAAAGGAACTGCGGGAGCAAAGGTGTGGCAAAGACACAGAACACAAAGCCAGAAAGGCTGTTGGGGGGGAGAGGAGGGGGTTGTGCTGTTGCTCGTCTCAGACTGGAGCTATCTGCCTTTAGTCCATTAGCCTCATTACCTTGCTCACACGAGTTTGGGTCTTCGAGTGGTAAGCTAGTTGCCTGGGTCCAAGGATTATTCTGGCTTAGAAACAGATCCTTTTCCATTGATAAACTCCTTCAGCTTCTTCAAATTCATATATTCATGTTGATTACCCACTTTGCCAAAGTAAACTGTGCTTATGTAAGGACTCCCTCACCTCAGAAACTTGTATGGAGTATTGCATATCACCTGACTGTGTGCCTTAGTTCCCTTGCCTGTAATGAAGATAACCTACCTGAGAAGGTGCTTCTAATGTGTAGAAGACTGACAGTAGTATATGGTATCTTGCATTGTGTAAGTAAAAAAAAACCTGCAAGAAATCTTAAGTGTTCATGAGAAAACATTAATTGGGGCATTTCCTTTAATTCTACAAATAAGAAGTGATCCTATAGGTGATCATCAATATAAATGGACAAAAAAAACCCATAGGTGTATGTACACACAAAGTACTATTACTCATCCATTTAAGGACTGTGGAGTATGGCTCAAGTGGCAGTTACTTCCTAGCTAGCCTAAACCCTGAGTGCAAACCACAGTCCTGCTAATTGCAAGGTGGCTCAAGGGTAGAGTACCTGGCTAGTAAGTTCAAAAACCAGAACCACTATTACCACAAACAAAAGCTTTAAAAGTGTGAGCACCTGTGGCTCACACATATAATCTTACTCAGGAGGCTAATGATCTGAGGATCAAGGTTTGAAGCTAGACCAGGCAGGAAAATCTATAAGATTTATTTCCAATTAAATATCAAAAAGCTGGAAGTAGAGTTCTGGTTCAAGTGGTAGAGCGCTAGCCTTGAGCAAAACAGCTAGGGGACAGCATCCAGGCCCTGAGTTCAAGCCCTAGTACTGGCACAAGAAATTTATTTTGGTAATTCATATAAAATTCACTGAAATTGTACAACTGGGTTGGTAATATGGCTCATATGTAATGCACAAATTGAACATGTTCAAAGACATGTATGCAGTCATCAGTTCCACTAATAAAATGCAGAACTGGAGGTATGTCTCAAGTGATATATCACTTGCCTAATATGCAAGAGGCTCTAAGTTCAATCTCTAGTACCAAGAGTATGTGTGTTTGTGTGTGTGTGTGTATTTGTACCCATTTGATCAGATTTATTTACAAAGTAAATATTAAATAATACTTTTTATTATCAAGCCAATATTAAGTTAATTATTTTTGAGGTTGTTCAGCTTTCTCATGGAGAAAAACCCAGACATAGTTTTTATGTTATCCATCTGCTAGACCTGTAACAGAGATTTAATAAGATTGTTGTACTGATTACTTGGGTGATTTCTATGAAGTAGTGAGAGAGATATTAATGTGAGTGACTAATATGGCCTGCCAGTAATAGTTAAGAGTTATGATCTTTCACCCACTGCTCAATCCATTTCAAAATCTTATTTATATTATCCTCTAGCTCTTCTGGGTTATTGCTGGGCAGCTGATGCACAATTTCTTCTTTGTAGGATGCTATGGCTTCTTCATAAAGAACTTGAAAAATCTCACACTGAATATTATCTTTCAGTTTCTTCTCATTATAACCCCTGTAAGGCAAAGAGAGGTTAAACAATTAAAAAACAAAATGAATACTATTAACTGTAGTTTTAGGAACATACCAGAAACTGGACACAAAAGTACTTCTTATATTTCTTTTTTTCTCTCTCTCTTTCAAATAAGCATTATCAAAGTGGAGTTGGCTTTATTGCTTTATTGTCAAACTAGATTTCTCATTTCTAAGATTTTTTTATTGTGAAAATACCATACAGAGGGGTTACAATTACATGAGCAAGGTAATGAGTACATTTCTTATCAAGTATTGTTGCATCCTTCTTTGTTTCCCCTTACCATCCCTTCCCATCTACTCCCCCACTTCCCACCCCCCTCTCCCCTACTTCTCACATTCCTTTTACTTAGAGAAAACAGATTAGTACCTGTATACATGAGCAACTTCCTTGACACAAGGCCAAACTAGCACTTTACCACTTGGAGCCACAGATCCACTTCCAGTTTTTGAGTGGTTAATTAGACATAAAAGCCTCATGGGGACTTAGCTGCTTGGACTGGCCTTGAACTGTGATCCTCAGATCTCAGTCTCTTGAGTAGCTAGGATTACAGGCATGAGCCACCAATACCCAGCCAAGTATACCTTCTAATAAATGGCTGATCAGAGCTCCTGACAGTCACTGAGAACCACAACGTTTTTTGTTTGTGTTAATCGTGGGGTCTGAACTCTGGGCCTGGGCGCTGTCCCTCAGCTCTTCAGCTCAAGGCTATCACTCTACCACTTGAGCCACAGTGCCACTTCCAGCTTTTTTCTGCTTATGTGGTACTGAGGACCACATAAACCCAGGGCCTCATGCATGCAAGGCAAGCACTCTATCACTGAGCCACCTTCCCAGCCCCAGTTCTCCCATTCTTGATGTGGGGACAATTTGAATGGGGAATGTTCAAGCAAAGAATACTACAGGTTGGCTCTGCCCAAGAAGTTGATTAAAAAAAAAGATAGCATAGCTAAATGGGGCTTCCATTAGTATAACTACTGAATCAAACTTTCAGCTGAGATGTTCATTTGCTCCTAAAGGAGTACTCACCTGTGTCCTTATGGGTCTTATTAGGTTCAAGAGACCAAATAAAGTGATCATGTTTTCAAATAAAAGCTCTTTTTACAACACTACTGGCCAATTTCAGGAAATCATAATGAAAGTTCATATTAAGCTTTATTTATTTTTGTTTTTTGTCAGTCATGTGGCCTGAACTCTGGGCCTGGGCACTGTCTCTCAGCTCTTTAGCTCAAGGCTATGGCTCTACCACTTGAGCCACAGCGCCACTTCCAGCTTTTTCTGCTTATGTGGTGCTGAGAAATCAAAGCCAGGGCCTCATTCATGCAAGGCAAGCACTCTACCACTGATCCACCTTCCCAGCCCCTCATATTAAGCTTTAAGAATGCAAATTTTTCCTTTCTTACCTTGTTTCAAGTCTTTTGTACAAAACACTGTTATCTGTTCTCAACACAAAAACTATATGAAACCAGCGTTCAGGGAAGAAATCACAGCCATGGTAATCAACAATAACACCACCATCTCTCATCTCATTTTCTAATTCATCGACTACCTGTAAGAAAGGTTAAAAAAAACAACAACTATTGAAGGCTTCCTTACAACACCAAGGTCAACTTACTACTGATCCAACAAGTGCAAATTTTATATTGTCACTTACTCTATCTTCATCTAAAATGGGACAATCATACTCTTCATCATAGCCATCATATAACTCCCCTAGAAGAGAACCACAGTGGCTTGTTAAACAGTATTTTTTAAGTAACTTACATTAGCTTCTATTAGCCCACATCATTACTTGCACAAGGGGGAGGGGAGTCACTGTGACACTTCCATACATGCACACAACATATCCTAATCAAACTCATCTCTTCCACCGCTGGTATTTTATCTACACTCACCTTCAGTTTGTCCTCTCTCTTCTACAATTTTCAAATAATTCTAGTCTTTAGGAAATATATTGCCAATTATTCTTTTAGATGCAAATATAAAGGGCAATACTGATAAAATTTTGTCTAGAAGAAAGCATGGATAAGTTGGGCACTGGTGGCTCACGCCTATAATCCTAGCTACTCAGGAGGCTGAGATCTGAGGATCGAGGTTCAAAGCCAGCCCGGGCAGGAAAAGTCCAGTGAAACTCCAATAAACCACCAGAAAACCGGAAGTGGCATTATAGCTCAAGTGGTAGAATGCTAGCCTTGAGCTGAAGAGCTGAGGACAGCGCTCAGGCCCAGAGTTCAAGTCCCACAACTGACAAAAAAAAAAAAAGAAAAGAAAAGAAAAAGAAAGCATGGATAATATATTCAAAACATTTTTTCCATAAGTAAAAAAAATCCACTTTTGTTCTGCCACTATATATATGATTAGAGCATTAGCCATAATTAAGTCAAGAGAATATCATGAACTTGGGGATATTTTGTTTAGTACCCTTTGTAGTTTGGCTTTAAGATCCATGTCTAGCCGGGTGCCCGTGGCTCATGCCTGTAATCCTAGCTATTCAGGAGGGTGAGATCTGAGGATCACGGTTCAAAGCCAGCCTGGGCAGACAAGTCCCCGTGAGATTCTCATCTCCAATTAAACACTTAAAAAACTGGAAGTGGAGCTGTGACCCCAAATGGTAGAGTGCTAGCTTTGAGCGAAGAAGCTCAGGGATAGTGCTTAGTCCCTGGGTTCAAGCCTCATGGTCAACAAAAGCAAAAACAAAAAGCCAATTTTTCCACGTTGTTCATTTTTGTTTTTTGAGACAGAATCTTACTGTGTAGCTCAGGTTTAGCCTCAACTTGTGATCTCCCCAGCTTCAGCCTCCAAAGTGCTAGGGCTACAGTCATGTAATTTAAGCTTACTTGAAACTCAAATATCAAAGTTGAAATAAACTAAAAGAAATGAAGAGGCCAGATGCTGGTGGCTCACATCTGTATTACCAGTCACTCAGAGGATGACTTATGAGGATGGCAATTCGAGTCCAGCCTGGGCAGGGGTCCATGAGATTCTCTTCTCAAATTAAGCACCAAAAAGGCAGGACACAGAGCTATGGCTTAAGTGGTAGAGCTCTAGCTCTGAATAACAAAGATCAGGGACCCCCGGCTCTGAGTCCAAGTCTCTGACACAAGAATAAATAAGTGAATAAATAATAAAATAACATCAGAATTTCTGAGATTGAGTTACACATTGGTGTGAAGAAGGAACATATGAACAGGTAAAACAACATCCTACGATGCATTAAAAGCAGATTAAATTCCAGATGTTTAGGTCAAAAATATACTTCTCGCAGGGCGCCAGTGGCTCTTGCTTGTAATCCTAGCTACTTAGGAGGCTGAGATCTGAGGATTGTGGTTCAAAGCCAGCCTGGGGAGGAAAGTCCATGAGACTCTAATAAACCACTAGAAAACTGGAAGTGGAGCTGTGGCTCAAGTGGTAGAGTGCTCACCTTGAGCTGAAGAGTGCAGAGACAGTGCCCAAGCCCAGAGTTCAAGTCCCATGACCGACCAAAAAAAAAAAAAATTATATGCACTTCTCAGCAGCAAGTTTAGGTTTTTGATTCCAGAAGTAAACTCCCTGTTAATGAACTTCACTTTTTCATGAGGCTTGGGAAAGATGTACTTGGGGTTTATATTCAGATGTCCCTGAATATAATCTTTGTGTGTGTGTGTGTGTGTGTGTGCCAGTCCTGGGACCTGGGCACTAACTATCTTTGAGCTTTTTTGCTCAATGCTAGTGCTGTATTACTTAAGCCACAGCTCCACTTCCAGCTTTTCTGGTTGTTAATTGGAGATAAGCATTTCAAAGACTTTCTGGCCAGGGCTGGCTTCAAACTACAACCCTCAGATCTCAGCCTTCCGAATAGCTAGGATTATAGGTATGAGCCATTGGCACCAGGCCTGGATATAACCTTTACTTCCAAATTCCCAGCTCCTCCAAAAGCCATTCCTCTTGAGAGTTAGATCTTACTTAAGAAGACAAAACAAAAATGATGAGGGAAGCTATAGAGAAGATAAATTTAAGGCCAGGAATATATGTAAGTGGTACTAAATTCAGCATATGATTAGGCTCTAGGTTTAACTCAACACTAAAAAAAAAAAGAAATGAAAAGGCAAATTAAAGCACAAAAAGTATTGAGCTCTCAGCATTTTCTTTCACAGCTTGAATCACACCTCCACTTCCAACTGGCTTTGAACCTTGATTCTCAGTTCAAGAACTTACTAGCCAGGATTAAAGGTACAAAGCAACAGCATCCAGAGGCAAATTTAAATTTCAACAAATAACTGGCTTTAAAGGAAGTCTTATTTCACGAACTAGGACATACCAACCACCTTCATTCCTAAGAGTTAGTTTAAGGCAGGCTTAAATCATACTTTAGCCAGCTCTAAGAAAATTGCTATCTATGCCGGTGGCTCAAGCCTGTAATTCTAGCTACTCAGAAGCCTGAGATCTGAGGATGATGGTTCAAAGCCAGTCCAGGCAGGAAAGCCCATGAGACTCTTATCTCCAATAAACCTCCAGAAAACCAGAAGTGGTGCTATGGCTCAAGTGGTAGAGCCCTAGCCTTGAGCTGAAGAGCTGAGGGACAGTGCCCAGGCCCAGAGTTCAAGCCCCACAACCAACCAAAAAAAAAAAGTTATGGAGTCTTCTCACCTCCCTCCCCTACTGTTTTTGGCACTGGAAATAAAACCCAAGGTGTTACACATACCAGGCAAACTTGAATAGTTTTTCATGTTTTTATTCCCTTCATACTGATTCTGGGGCTTGAACTCTGGGACTAGGTGTTGTCCCTGAGCTTCTTTTGCTAAAGGATAGTATGCTACCACTCGAGCCACAGCTCCACTTCTGGCTTTTTTGGTAGTTTTATTGGAGATAAGACTCTTTCAAAAACTTTCCTGCCTAGCCTGGCTTTGAACCTTGATCCTCAGATCTCTGCCTCTTGGGTAGCTAGGATTATAGGCCACCAGTGCCTATATTATTATTTATTAATGTAACTCTTGTGTAGATACTTGAGCTTGAATTCATGGCCTCTTGCTTGGCTTTTTTCACTCATAGTTGGAGATAAAAGCCTAGCCTGGCTTCAAACCATCATTCTGAGATCTTACTACAGAAACACCTGTAACTGTCTTGCCTGGAGGGCCTGTGGAATGATTCTGGGCATCCCAGCACCTAATGGACTACTGCTGTTATCAGAATAGTAAAAAAAAGTCCTGGTATGGGAAAAATTTGTTAACAAGTTAGGAAACAATCTAAATCTTCATCTACAAACCGCAGCTTATAAAGAGCTAATTTCTTTTAATTGGAAGTGCTAGAGTATGAACTCAGGGCACAGAGCACTGAGGTTGCCAGGCAGGTGCTCTACAACGTGAGCCATCCCTCCAGTTCACTATGCTATGATTATTTTGAGATGAGTCTCACTTTCTGCCTGGGCCATTGTGGACCCATTTACGCTTCCAGACATAGCTGGGATAGAACCTGTAGAGCCCGCTGGACAAGAGAGACTACCTCCAAATAACAACAAAAAGTAGGAAGTAGAGCTGTGGCTCAAGTGGTACAGCACTATCCTCTAGCAAAACAGCTCAGGGGCAGTGCCTAGGCCTGAGTGAAGCCACAGGACCAGCACATACATGCATACACACATATCTGTATGTTATTTTTTCTTTTGAGACAGGATCTCACTGTTATCAGGGATGGCCTGGGAACTTCTGTGCTCAAGGGACTGTACTGCCTCAGCTTACTGAGAAGCTGGACGTACAGGCACGTCACTGTGCTCAGCTTTTCAGATCCAGATGGATATGAAACCTTTTTTTGGGGGGGTTCGTGGGGCCTGAACTCTGGGCCTGGGCTCTGTCCCTCAGCTCTTCAACTCAAGGCTAGCACTCTACCACTTGAGCCACAGTGTCACTTCGGCTTTTTTTTCCTGCTTATGTGGTGCTGAGGAATTGAACCCAGGGCCTCAAGCACCTTCCCAGCCCTATGAAACCTTTCATACCCACTGGATATGAAACCTTCAGAAGGGCAACAATACCACAAAATTCAAGAATACTTATATAGTTGATCATTCTATGTAGTAGCCATATGGCATTATTTCATATTTTAATTCCTGATCCAAAGATTACCAAAATCTTAAAAAATACAAGCTAAGAGAGACATCTATAGCCACTTTTAGAATGTTTCTTAGCCAAGTATCAGTGGCTTACACCTATAATCCTGGATACTCACAAATTCGAGATCTGGGGATCAGTTTGAAGCCAGCCTGGGCAGAAGTCTATGGGACTCTTATTTCTAATAAACTACTACAAAAGCCAGAAGTGGAGCTGTGACATAAGTGCTAGAGCACTATCCTTGAGCAAAATAAGCACAGACAGCACCTAGGCCATGAGTTCAAGCCCCAGAACCGGCACACACAGACACACAGACACCACCAAAAAAGTGTTTCTTATTACAATGTTGACATGTAGAATTCATTATCCAAACTGAAATGTTTACTTCAAAAACCTTTATCAAATACCTTGTACTAACAGAAGGGATGGACAATGAGGACCAAACATTGAACAAATACCAGTTGTGGTGCCTCTGCCTGTGATCATAGCTACTACAGGAGGCTGAGATCTGAGGATCGATATTCAAGGGCAGCCTGGGCAGAAAAGTCCCTGTGATACTCTTATCTCCAATTAACCACTCAAAAACTAGAAGCAGCACTGTGGCTCAAGGGATAAGAGCACTAGCCTTGAGCCCAAAGAAGCTAAGGGACAGAGCCCAGCCCTGAGTTCAAGTCCCACAACTAGAAAAAAAAGTGAACAAAATGAAGTCCTTCTCTCAAAGCATTTCTAATAAAATGGTAATAAAGACATCTGGGAATTATTTTAATTTTCTGGCTCTAGGTGTTGTATAAACAACTGACATAAACCTAGGATATTAAGAGGCTTTCCTAGCATAAGTTCTAAACAGATACGAAGCAATTAGCTAGGCAGGGATCAAAGGAGGGAAGACTCTGAGGGAGTTTTCAAACCATTAGAAAATAGGATACAGGGCTGGGAAGGTGGCTCAGTGGTAGAGTGCTTGCCTCGCATGCATGAGGCCCTGGGTTCGATTCCTCAGCACCACATAAGCAGAAAAAGCCGGAAGTGGCATTGTGGCTCCAGTGGTAGAGCGCTCGCCTTGAGCTGTAGAGCTGAGGGACAGCGCCCAGACCCAGAGTTCAGGCCCCATGACTGGGAAAAAAAAGAAAATAGGATCCAGGAGCTGATGGCTCAAGCCTATACTAGTGACTCAGGAGGGTGAGAACTGAAGATTCGGGTTCTATGCCAGCCCATGTAGGAAAATCTGTCTTATATTCCATTAGCCAGCAAAAAGCTGAACGTGGAGGTGTGGTTTAAGTAGCCAAGCACTAACCCAAAGTGGAAATTGAGAGCAGGAGTCCCTGATATTAATCCCTGGTCAATAGAGAAAGAGGAGAAAAAGGAGAAGAGAAAGGGAGGGGAGGAAAAGGAGACAGGAGAAGAGAGGGAGACAGAAAGAGGGAGGAGAAAGGGAAAAGGGGTAAGGGGGAGAGAGGGAGAAAGAGAAAGGGAAAGGGGAGGAGAGAGGGAAAGGGACAGGGAGAAAAGGAGGAGGGAGGAAAGATGGGGGAAGAGTGTGAGCAAGAGCTCTAGTGGCTCAAGCCTATAATCCTATCTACTTAAGAGGCTGAGGTCTCAGGATTGTAGTTCAAAGCTAACTGGGCAGGAAAGTCCTTCACATTCTTAATAAGTTGTTTTTGTTGTTGTTTTGCCAGTCCTGGGGCTTGAACTTAGGATCTAGATACTGTCCCTGAGCTTCTTTTGCTCAAGATTAGCACTCTGCCACTTCAGCTTTTTCTGTGTATGTGGTAATGAGGAATCAAACCCAGGTCTTCATGCATGCTAGGGAAGCATTCTACCACTAAGCCACATCCCCAGCCCATAAGGATAGTGTTTTGTTTTGGTCAGTACTGGGGTTTGGAACTCAGGGCCTCGTGCTTGCTAGGCTGATGCTCTACCACTTACGACATGCTACCAGCCCCCAGCCCTAGTTTCTTAGAGAAAGAAATTAGGAATAAGGGGCCAAGTAAGCTGAGGCTAGATAAAGGGCCTTCAAGGCTGCATTGAAGAGTTTAAAATTTAGCTGGGCAGCTGGGCGCTATGCAGGAGACTGAGATCTGAGGATCACGGTTCCAAGACAGCCTGGGCAGGAAACTGTGAGACTCTTATCTCCAATAAATCACTAGAAAACCAAGAAGTGGTACTGTGGCTCAAGTGGTAGAGCGCTTGCCTTGAGCTGAAGAGCTGAGGGACAGCGCCCAAGCCCAGGGTTCAGGCCCCACGACCCCCCCCCAACAAAATGACAAAAAATGTTTAAAGCAGAGCTGCAAAAAAGGACACTAGAAAAAAGTAATCAAATAAAAAGGAAAGAAATGAAGATGCCAATAATCCTTAATATACCAATAGGGGGGTGGGGAGACAACCTAGAAAGTTGAGAAAATGAGGACAAATCTAAACAGATCTAAACCATCTTGACCAATTAGTCTCTCTTAATAGAATCAGTTACACTTGAGCAATCTGAAAAAATATATTGTTAAGTATGATTAAATATCTGAAGACACAAAGATTCAAAATAATGAATGTTGTAACCCTTATTTCCTTCTGGTGAGGAGGGAGAAAATGTTTTTAAAAACATACTGCCAAAGTACCAACATCTAATTGATAAATAACAACTTTATTTTTTTACATGTAAAGGCTGAAGAAAAACCATTTCTAGTGCTATTAAAGAAAACCAAACATTTCAATTGAAAAGTACTCATTAAATACTATTTATAAAGTTTCTAAAGTACAACGAAAACATCTAGCATGCTTGTTTAATTTCAGTACAATGGATTCAAGACCAAAAATACTTATTACATGCATCAAGGCTAGATTACAAATTATCATAGTCATCATCATCGTCATCATCGTCATCATCATCATCACGCTTTCTTTTTAATACATTTGATGACTCGTTGGTCGTATTTTGTGACACCATATTAGTAGTAATAAGAATGTTTTTGGAACCAATTAATGATGGATTGATCAGAACATTCTGAACTGCTGATGTTGCAGGAATTGATGCTTTTACAGCAGGGGACTGAGAAGCAGGCATTTGTACTGTAAATCTTTGCCCTGTGAGGGACATTGGAGTTCCCACTTTAGTAGAAACAGACATTGTTTGTGGGGTTGGTGTGCCCAGTGTGGGAGTACTTGGTCTGCTACTGACTGAACCAACACTTAACCGTGGAACAGTTATTCTTCCTGCAGGAGTAGATGCCTTTTTTTGTAAAGACTTAAGTCTATAATTTGGAGCTGTTAAGCAATATCTATCAGGTGGCAATCTAGGACCTGAATATGGTTTGATCAATGGCAAAGGGGTTTGATTTCTTTGCCTTGCAATATCTAACAGAAAATCTCTTGGAGGAGGAGAAGTGAAAGACTGGTCAGCCCGACACTGGATGGCCAATCGTACATCATCTGCATCAACAGTAGCTTTTTTAGCATGGCTTGAATAAATCTTAGCATCATCTAGAATTGTAGTCACATAACGAAAAGCAAACTCCAACATCTGATTTATAACTCTTGGCTCATATTCTGTAATCCCCATATCCTTCAGGATTTGTGCCATCATCTGTGCATCTTTCGGCATGCTCTTGGGAGAAGCCATCTTGCCAGACTCCATGATAGCCGGTGATCAGACTTTAGTTCATTTAAAAAAAATATGCACATTAGATCAAACCAAAATTATTTTAGTAACAAATGTTAGGAACTTAACATTTAAAAATTATGTTAAAATAAGTATTTTTAAGGTTTAAAACAAATTACATCTTAATTTTAATAAAGAGTTCCCTTTGCTTAAGTGTACTGAGCTCCTGCCCTATAAATAGCAGAACAAAAAATAAATAAATAAAGATTAGGGGAAAACAGGGTAAAAAAAATCAAACATTAATTTTAGAATGTATGTAGTTGCATGCATACATACAGCAATCAAGCTGACCTAAGAAAATACCAAAGGACAAGCATATCCTATTGCCTGAGTTCAAAATAATCTGTCTTTTCCGTAAGATTAATACATTCACTGTCTCATTCTCCTGCCTTTTTATATTGAGATTTTATGTGTCCAATCTTTTCATGGAAGCCTCCATTAATACTGTTCTAAAACTAATATTATTGTTATAAAGAACTGCTATGCTGGGAATGTGGCTTAAGTGGTATAGTGCTTGCCTAGCATTCATGAAGACCTGATTCCTCAGTACCACATAAACAAAAAAAGCCAGAACTGGCGCCGTGACTCAAGTGTTAAGAGTACTAGCCTTGAGCAAAAGCTCAGAGATAGCGCCCAGGCCCTGAGTTCAAGTCCCAGGACTGGCAAAAAAACCCCAAAAAACAAAAAACACTACTAGTTGGTGGTAGGGGGGAAATTGGTGAATGTTATCATTAATAGTATTATACGCATTTTTAAAGATTTCTATGGCTCCACATAAAGGTCTATATTTGTATGTGCTGGTACCAGGGTTGGGACTCAAAGCCTCATGGTTCCTCAACTTACTTGCTTGCTAGAACTTTATCATTTGAGCCATACTCTCAGCCAGTTTTTTTCGAGCTGGGAGTCTCCTGTACTTTTCTGTCTAGGATGGCCTCTTGTCCTCCTTAGTGCTTGGATTAAAGTTGTGAGCTTGCTTAAACATTTTTTTCCATCAAAAAGTCCTTAACACGCTAATCTTTCTCCTATTTGTACCCTCTTATAACAGCTAGTTAATACTCTACAACCTGACTTTAAAAAACAAAACCCAAATATCAAAGCATCCCTTACCTTCTCGAGCTAAATCACCCACACTAATATACTTCAGTCCTGATCTTGAGGCAAGTTCTTTGCCTAGTGTGGTTTTTCCAACCCCTGGTGTACCTGTTAAGACAAGCCACAAAAAACAAAACAAAACACTTCAAATAATTACTTGGACTTCAGTCATCTTCTATCCTTAAAGTTCGTAACCACCATAAAATAAAATAGAAAACAAAGCAAAACAAAAAGTTCATAACCACCAATATGAAAATTGCCCCAATTAGCAACATGAAAGAATATACTATGATCTACCCAAAACTTTCAGAGGTATCACCTGGTTGTCAAACTCTCATTCTGTATGTGATTCTCCTGGGATAGGGGCTCAGGAGATTTTGATGCCAATACAATTTTACCTGTCACCAACATGAACTTCCCCGAATAAAATTAGCAAGCTGACATCAACCACCATCAGTTATTGCTTTAATTAAAAAACAAATGTTCATGGGGGGGGGGGGAACAGGGCAGATTAAGGGCTGGGAATGTAGCTCAATAGAAGAAGTATTTAGTACCAACAAAAAGAAACCAAACAAACAAAAAAAAAAACCCTCAAACATTAGCTCATTAAGACTTCTACCCCTGGGTCCTCTTTCCTATGTCCTTCCATTGAAACCATGTTCTTAAAAATGTTTCCCAAAGAAAACAATGGAGGGGCTAACAATGTTCAAGAGGAAGTGTACTCATTACCTCACTCATGTATCTGTAACCCTCTGTATAGTATCTTTACAATAAAAAAAAATTAAAAAAAATGTTTCCCAAAGAAGCCTTGCACATGTGTTATATACACAGAAAAGGATATATGGTACCTGTTGTATGTGTGCATCCATGGATACCATATACACACATTCTCTTTTTGCCTAAGTGGCAAAACTACACACTATTCTTTTTTTTTTTTTTTTTTGGTTCCAGTAGTGGGGACTGAACTCTGGGCCTGGGCGCTGTCCCTCAGCTCTTCAGCTCAAGGCTAGCACTCTACCACTAGCACCAAAGTGCCACTTCTGGCTTTTTTTTTTCCTTTTTCCTTATGTGGTGCTGAGGAATCGAACCCAGGGCCTCATGCATGCAAGGCAAGCGCTCTACTACTGAGCCACCTTCCCAGCCCCCAGCCCCATTTCTTTTTAAACTGTATTGTTAAACTTACTCAGGAGGCTAAGAGCTAAAGACCAGGGTTCAAAGCTGGCCAGGGCAGGAAAGAACGTGACTCTTATCTCCAGTTAGCCAGCAAAAAGCCAAAAGTAGAGGTGTGGGTCAGGTGGCAAAGCGCTAGCCTTAAACGAAAAAAGCAAAATGAGGCCCAGAGTTCAAGCCCCAGTACCAGAGTACAAAAACAAAATTAAGCACTGTCCTGCTTAGAATCTTAGGTTTCCTTAACTGCTAAAACTTTATTCCCACAGAATATCTTTATGTAGGCGCATCACCCGCACCTAGGTAAATGACCTGAGTGGCAATATTAACGGCTACAACTTGGTAAACATCTGCAGAGTGAAAAGCCCACCAAGAGTACAGTTTAAAGTCGTCGGACGCCATCTCATTTCCTTTTACGGAGGAAACGAAAACTCAACACGGTTCGGAAGAACGGTCAGAGAACTCCACCATCCGCCCGGAATCTTTATAGCATTCCGACGTCAGCAAGGAACGGACATGTTGAGCTGCCTTGTCACTCAAAGAAAAAAGACACGGACACACAGACAGGCGGACGACAGACAGACACACACACACTCACTCTAATACTTAGCGAACGTACACAATCCCGTCTTTCTATGCATCTAAACTCATTTTCCGAAACCTGACTTTTGAAATCCCCCCC